AGGGAGGGGGGGTTGAAGATAGTTTGCTGCTTTTTGTGCTGTAATTGTCCGAGATAGATGGTAGACCTTTTTAAATTTCTCTGAGAAATTAGGTGATTGTATATTACAAATCATTAGGTCGATTTGATTTGTTAAGTGATAGTCATAAATAGGTGGTCTCCCCTAGACATTCTTCCGCATAAGTTCTCATAGAACTGGTCTTTCTTCCTTCTCTTTTGCATCTCTATTTTTTCTCCTTCGTCTTGTTGGGGTCTTGCTTTTCCTGTATTTTGTTTGTTTAGTCTTGGCAGTCTTGTGGAGAAATCATTTAGGAAATCAAACATGTGGTATTTGGTTATTGATACACATGAAAGAGGCATACACGAGTTTGGTAAAGCATTAAACTTTTGGTAATACATTGACCTATTGGGAAATTAGAAGTCTGCCATAATTTCAAGTAATCAAATTAGTTGAGCTCAACCTTTGAAGCGTCAAGTTATGGGAGTCTAACTTAATGTTATTTGGATCGTGAGTTATTTTGGTATGAGATATGGGTATGCAATACGATACTCTCCAATACAAAGTGCGATATGGGTAGAATTAATTAGTATGTTGCTTTGGGTTGGTGTTGCTTTGGAATTGTTACCCTAATCTCTTTTACCATTATATGAAATTATCGACAATCACACATCCATACACACACAATTAATTAAATGTGTTAAGAGTTCGAAAAAGAATTGAAATTTAAAACTACGATTTGGCTAAAAATTGTGAATAATAAACGTTAATATTTGAACATCGGATTACAAAAAAATTCAAACTACAACAAATAAAAATGGTTAAAAAAATCAGCTAAATAAAAGAAATAAATTACTTGTTTAGGCAACAATTTGGTTATAATTTTGGGTCAAGGTTACAATTTGGATTCACCTGGATCGTGAGCCTAAATGCATGTCAAGTTGACTAGAGAGACCAATTGATGGATTGTGTTAAATTGTGTGAATTATAAGCATGTGGATCATTGTTCTATCTAGTTAGGTGAAGGAATGCACTTACACCTCATTTTTCGTTGAGTCTAGGGTCAGTACCTTATCTTGTATGGTTGCCACTTGTTTTAAGCCCTTTCGAGGCTAGTGTGTATTTGCATGCAATAGCCCCTAAACCTTCCTACTTTTTATTAGCAATGTTTTCAAAACTTAGTGTTTCAATGTATATCGGTTTTAACAAATAATGCATTGTGTGTCATAACATATCGTGTATCATAATACATGTTCAATTTTAAGCAATATATTGATAAAAAGATTTACTATGTACATGTATATCTAATGTCCAAAATGGAAAATGGAATATACTATTGATGAGAGCTGGAAAAGACGGAAGAAGTGGCTCTATGATTGGATCTCTATGTAATTTGGATATTGCTGGTTCATTGACACTTGCCATGATTGATGGAATTTTTATGTTTCAACTAGCTAATAGGCCCTCCTTTAAACCACAAAAAAAGGTTTTATAAGGAAAATAGCTTGAAAATACCAAAGCAACAAATGATCTTCTACAATTTTGTAGTCTTTGCAATCTATTTTTGGTGCTTGTCAAATATGCTTTTAATTTGTTGCTACTTTTTGAAATACATTACTTAAAGAGCAATTCTGTGTTATATAAAAGTGGGAGATTTGAATGGACTATAGTCATTATATGTTTGATTTTATCACCACCCTAATAAGGCTTGTCTTTAATTTATTGTTTACTTCTTTGTCAGCCTGCAGGGGAGAACTATGCTCACCCAAAGATTTGTTTCTTTTATGTCCTTTTCAAGGTGTAGTATGTTCAATTGTGTTTACTTACAAATGCTTATGCTTCTATCTAGCTTTGTAATCATGTGTTTCTTCCATTCGACAGGCTGCAGCTTTGACGTTTTACATACTTTCCTCTCTATTTTTTGATAGTTTTGTCATCATTTTTGTGGTCACTGTTCTCCTTGCTGCCCTTGATTTTTGGGTTGTCAAAAATTTGAGTGGGCGTATCTTAGTCGGTTTAAGGTGGTGGAATGAAATTAACGACGAGGGTGAGAGCGTATGGAAATTCGAATGTCTTGACCAAGAGGTGAGTAGTAGTTTTCATGTATTCTTCATATGGATCTCATATATTGATCATTCAATAAGCTTTTTTCTAGGAAGCAAGGATACGGATGTGACATGGATACGACGAGACGACAAAACTTAAAAAAAGGGGATACGAGTATGGTCAAGATACGTTTATAATATAAAATATATTTTATATTTTACTATTATTTAATTATTTATAAATTACAATTTTCAATAATTTTTTAACATTAGTAAACAAAATTGAGAATTTTTATCTTAAAAAGATGTAATATTGTCTCATTATGATATATTCATAAAATGAGCGTGGTCAATTAAAAGAATCAGAACCACATTTGTTTTTAAGATTACTAGAAATGCACCTCGTGTGTTGCATGTGTACAATTTAGGTAGTAAAAATAGAATTAAATATATATTCAAATTTATAATTAAGTTAACTATAACCTCATATATTAGAATGCATATTTATATTTTAAATATCATGTTTGCATAATTAAAAAATATCACATATGGTAAATACAGTGAAAATAAGTAAAAAGGGTCAAAGGTATATTGTGTTTTTCGTTATATCCTTAAGTGATTGTCTATGGATAAATAAGATCATGACAAGTATTCTACAAATTCAATTTTTTGCATGATGTCAAATGATGTGAGTAGCCCATATAGAAAAATGAGACTTGATATCTTTCGGTAGAACAAAAAAGGCCAATTGTTACGTTATCCTAATTTTCTCTTTTTTTTTAATCACAAAAAGTATACACCTTGTGTGTGTGAGAGAGAGAGAGAGAAATAGAGTTTCAAAGAGGATTGAGGATGCGGATTTATATGCTTTAGAGATATTTTATATTTAATGGTGCAATGAATATAGGAAGATGATAAAACTTATTATTAAGACGAAGAGTAAAAGTTAGAGGAATGATTTGACAATTAATTAATTTAGAATCAAATGAAAGATGAAAGGAATAACAAAAGTGAACAGATAATTAAACATTAATTAATTTAAAACTAAATGCAAGATCAAAGGAAGAGCAAAAACTAATATTTAAATGAAAGATTAAATACTAATTAATTTAAATTTAAATGAAAATAAAATGATATAGAAAGATATGATTGGCATTATAATATTAGTTAAGGATAAATTTGAAAATTAAAATTTTTTCTTCTTAGTGTACATTTATTAGTAGTATAGATAGTGTAAATGACTCCTTTTTTGTACTTTCTAGATATATAATAATAGATAATACTTAAAAAATATTCGTGCCTTCAAACTCAGATGAAGTTTTGTTGATAATTGTATTGTATGTGAACTCTAAAGAAGAGGGTATAGATTAAAATTAAAAATTGTACATATTGCTCCATGTTTAGAAACATGTGCGAAATATCCACATATTTTATTAATTATCGGATATGGATGATGCATATTCGATGTGTATCCTTGAATATCCGACGAGTATTGTATCTAATACGATATTCGATACGGGTACATAGACNTCCACATATTTTATTAATTATCGGATATGGATGATGCATATTCGATGTGTATTCTTGAATATCCGACGAGTATTGTATCTAATACGATATTCGATACGGGTACATAGACGTTGACAAAATATTCATGCTTCATAGGCTTTTTTCTCAGAGTTTTTATTGTAAATATTGAGTTTTTATTTTTGACTTTAAACATACTTCTGCTATTGATTCTCATGCATTTGTATCTTTGTTTTGGCTAGTCATTGGCTCGGGTGAACAAGAAAGATTCATGGCTATTCTGGTGGGCTCTTTACCTTACGGTACGAATGAATTGTTGAACTCATGCATGTCCCTGTCCAACAACATATACGAAAAAAAAAGAGTAAATTATACAAATGACCCTTAAACTATAATCCTTGTGTCAATTAAGTTTTTGAATTAATTTTTGTGTCAATTGAGTTCTTAAACTCTGAAATTTTAACAATTAAGCCCTTGAAATAATTTTCGTGTCAATTGAGCTCCTAAACTCTAAAACTTTAGCAATTAAGTCCTTTTATTAATAGCTGTTACGGTTTTTAGATGGAATGTCTTATGTGCTCACCACATGAACATTATATTAGGGGTATTTAGATTGTTCATTCGAAACTTATCAGACGAAGAATCCAATTCCTTACACCCATCAATCGGAACCCTAAATATAAACGTCTTTCATGCCCGTCAAATGAAGCAGATCAACAAGCTCTTCGATATTGTGTAGAAAACAGATTACATAAATTGAGGCTCTTCGAAGAGCTTGCTTATTTGCTTCGTTTCATGGGTATAAAAGAGGTTTAGGTTTAGGGTTTCGGTTGATAGGTGTAAGGAATGGAGTTTTTCATCTGATATATTTTGAATGAATAATCTAAAATACTCCTGATCTGTTGTCCATGTAGTGAGCATATGAGACATTCCTTCCAAAAACTCAACGGTTGCGGACAGAAGGACTTAATTTCTAAAATATTAGAATTTAGAGGCTCAATTGATACAAAAATTAGTTCAGGGACTTGATTGCAATTGTTTTTTAGGGCTCAATTGATATGAAAACTTAAATCAGGGACTTAATAAAAGTATCATAGTTTAAGAGTCATTTGTCTAGTTTATTCAAAAAAAAAAGAGAATTAAAGGGAATGCATAATACAAGAGTTTTCCATCTGATATAGTTTACCCAAGTTTCTTTATACCTACTATATCCTTCACTTGAAGATACTAATAGACCTTTTTTCCCTTGAGTAAAAGATTATAATAAATGAAACTTGGGTTGTGGATGCATTTGAGTTGTTCTTTTTTCTGTAGGCGGTAGCTTGGATCTTCCTTGGAATATTCTCTATCATAAGATTTCAAGCTGATTATCTCCTTGTTGTTGGCGTTTGTCTGACCCTCAGCATTGCAAATATTGTTGGCTTTACTAGATGCCGCAAAGGTGGGTCGACTATCTGTTTATCATTTATCAAAATCCAACAGCAGTCTAACATTGTCTTACTCTTAACATGTTTGTTTATGCTCTTCTGAAATAATATGATAATAGTATGTCTGTATCCGTTGTGTGGGTTAGGGGAATGTTATTTAATGCGTGAAGCGAACCGAAACGAACAAGTCTCGTGAGGCCTAGGTTAGAAGCGAGAGGCGAAGCAAGTGTTTCATCAAAGCAAAACAAACAATAAAAAAAAAAAAAGCAAATATTTTATATCTAAACCATCACAAATGAAAATTCTGGTTATTAGACTGAACCATTACAGATGAAATCATTTACGTTACAAATAGGAAGCAACAACAAAAATTATTTGGTTTTCTACTAAATTAGACCTTTTCAAGGGAAGCAATTGAACTAAGCATAACAAAGCAGCATAATCAAACAAGAGCAGTTTTAAAACAAACACAGCTGAATCCCGTCTAAGCAACAAGTACAAAAAACCAGTATAACAAAGTAGAAACCTAGTCATAACAAAGCAGAAAATCAATCTAAGCATAACTGCATAACACAACAAAAGCAAAGGGGGAGGTTCCTGCAAAACTAGAAATAGAATCAGTATCAAAGCAAAATCAACTGGAAAAAAAAGCAAAAATAGAGTATAAGAGGAGGAAGTAGAATCAGCATCACCATAACATAACAAAAAAAACAGAAATGGAGTAGATGAGGTGGAAGCAGAATCAGTATCGCAACAACATAGCCAAAAAAAAAAAAAACTGAAACTGAGTAGAAGAAGAGGAGGAGGAGGTTCGAGTAGAACTAAAAAATCAGAAGAAGAGGAGGTGAAGAATCAGAGGACATAGAATTAAAAAGTTCACTAAAGCAATTGCTTATTTGATTTTTTCGCTTCTTCCCTTTTGCTGCTTTTTGCTTGCCTCGTCTACGTTTGTTTCGCATGTCATGTTCAAGGCGACATAGGGTTGCCTCGCTTCACTTCGCTTCTTGCCTAGGCTCGCTTTTAACAACACTAGGTTAGGGATCTGTAGGATCTTGGATTGATTAGCCATGCTGGAAATATGTGTTAGGGTATTCGAGTACTTAACACATGCGTTCATGGAGAAAATTAGGGTTTTATAAATGCATCCAAGCATTACTTGTTAGATAACGTGTACACATGCAACAACTTTTTTTCCGATTTTACTTGAAAGTAAGTTTGTAGTATTTCATAATAGNAAGCAAAAATAGAGTATAAGAGGAGGAAGTAGAATCAGCATCACCATAACATAGCAAAAAAAACAGAAATGGAGTAGATGAGGTGGAAGCAGAATCAGTATCGCAACAACATAGCCAAAAAAAAAAAAAACTGAAACTGAGTAGAAGAAGAGGAGGAGGAGGTTCGAGTAGAACTAAAAAATCAGAAGAAGAGGAGGTGAAGAATCAGAGGACATAGAATTAAAAAGTTCACTAAAGCAATTGCTTATTTGATTTTTTCGCTTCTTCCCTTTTGCTGCTTTTTGCTTGCCTCGTCTACGTTTGTTTCGCATGTCATGTTCAAGGCGACATAGGGTTGCCTCGCTTCACTTCGCTTCTTGCCTAGGCTCGCTTTTAACAACACTAGGTTAGGGATCTGTAGGATCTTGGATTGATTAGCCATGCTGGAAATATGTGTTAGGGTATTCGAGTACTTAACACATGCGTTCATGGAGAAAATTAGGGTTTTATAAATGCATCCAAGCATTACTTGTTAGATAACGTGTACACATGCAACAACTTTTTTTCCGATTTTACTTGAAAGTAAGTTTGTAGTATTTCATAATAGTTGTGTAGACATACCGGTGAATATGGTCATCTAATAGATCACGTGGATTAACTATGCATTGGATATTTTGATTTAACTGGTACAAAATACCCCTTGCTCCAACGTTGACAACTCTGTTGTTTAACATTTTGAGTAAATTAATGTGTTACAAAATTTTTATTCTGTTTTAATTAGTGCATTCACTGCATTGTATACTACATATGAATATTAGATAACTTTATTAGTTAAGATCATGGTTTGCCTTGTGATGATTCTTGGACATCCGAGGTAGTTTTTTTTTTTTTTTGGTCACGACATCCGTGGTAGTTGAGTACTTGCCATTTAGTAGATTGCCTAGTTGCAAATTTGCAATATTACTTGTTTGTCAGTTTGTATAGCATATGTTGTCCAGTTGTTCTGGCAACTTTGTCAAGACTATGGCGCTATTCAATGTTGAAAATTTTACTCATTCATCGTAGTCATCATACACTTACTTTGGTTGCAGAATGGTTATTGATAAGAAATTTATACAAGAAACAAAACTACTTGAATAAAGAGTTAGTTGCAAATGTTGAATTTGGAATTGCACTGTTATACTCGTATGATCGGTAGAATACATTAAGAAAGTAGTATTCATTCACAAGTCAAATTGCTGAGTAACAACACTTTCCTTGGGGATCTAATATGGGTATTTTGAAAAATAATAAGGAGATTTGCTTTTATGCTTAAGAACTAGCCTCATATTCCCCCTTCCCCCTTTACTTTGTTTGCTTGAGAAGCCAACCTCATTTTTCGAAAGATCAAACAGTTCGGAACTTCAAATCAAAGCAAATATGGTACGTCCTGGGAAATACTAATTTGAAGGTCAAATTTTGATGGCAACTATACAG